GCCTCGTACCTAAACAAGCAGAACTACAGAGGCTAATGGACAAGAAGACGAAGTTGGGTACAGCCGCAGAACGTGCAGCAAGCTCCCAGCTTCGGAGGGCTGCTTCTCTAGGAACAAAGGCAGAGACAGGTTTCTTTTCGGTAGTGGTGCTGAGACCAGGGCCTTGAGTTCGGCAGGTGAGTGCTGCACCAGGGCCGCAGCCTCTGCCGAGTCCCTCTGAGACGAGACCCTGCTACGGACCCAGCTGGCCTTGACCTTGCAATCCCGGAGAATCCAGCTCCGGGGCAGCTGGGACATACGCCCCGGCACCCAGTCAGGAATCGGTCTGCACTCACTACAGACAGTGTCTTGGCTGGAGGGAAGCGGGTGTGTGTGTGTGTGTGTGTGTGTGTGTGTGTGTGTCTAACTTTCTCTAGAATGTTCAACAGAGAACGCTGAAATTTTGAACATGTTATCTATCACATCAATCAGGATACGCTAAATTTATCTCTAATTGCAAAATATCTGTACTACTTCAAAATAAAAAAAGATGGCAGAATTATAATTTGTGAGCAGCAAAGTTGGTTTTTTTTGCTGTGGATGAACCCGGCTCCCAAGCGGCTCTTTCCTTGAGCTTCTCACACGTCCCGGGACGCAGGAGCTGCATCCCACGCTCTCCGACCCAGGCCGGCGTGCTCTCTCACGCCCGCCCCACGGCACCTGGAGTCACGCCAAGGCCCTCCTGGCGCCTCCGCCTCTCTCTGCAGAAGCTCCCCGTCTCCTGCGCCTGGCCCGGCGAGCCTAGTGCTCCACACAGCACGTTAGGAAGGTCTGCTCCCACATTCGCTTAGCTTCCCTTGCCCATATACGTTCCCACATTGACAACTTTGTGTTAAAAGATTAAAACAGAGTTTGGCTGGTTTTCGTTTTGTCTTTTCCAGAATGCTTTTTGCCAGGTATGGGGAGACATGCCTGCAATCCCAGCACTGAGGAGGCTGAGGGGCCGGCAGGCGGCTCAGTGCAGTAAGCGCGTCCCTGGCAAGCGCAGGGGCCCGAGTTCAATGCTCGGTTCCACAGAAAGAATAAAACAAAATAAAAATGAAAAAACAGGAGGCTGAGGCAGGAGGACCACTGCAAGTTCAGTAAGTCCAGGCCAGCCTGAGCCTCACAGCGAGACTTTGTCTCCAAAACAAGCAAACAAACAAAAAGCCAGTCTTTAAATCTATCCTTCAAGTCTGAAGTTATGAGAAGATAAGAGTCTTACAGCCCTTAAGTAACCTGTGACTGTACGTGCTCTCCCACTCCCTTGGTGAAACTCTACCTGAGTTTTCAGGATAATTTTTGCTAGTTTAACAGAAACCTGG